TTAAATATTCTTTTAAAAATTAGGCTTTCAACACAATACTTTGGGGAGTCTGCATAAGTTTTTTTCTGTTGGCCACTTATTGACACAAAACAATTAGAATAGTTAGTTTCTATTACCTCATGGAAGCAGAACCTAAGTACAGTACTACAAAAGAAGTTCTCATAGGATGTTTTTCTACTTTACCTGCCGTTTATTAGATTATTTAGCGAGTAGTACAAAAATATTGAAGGGAAGGTGAAAATGAATATATCATCTGTCTACAATGGCAACTGTTTTGCTTTGCACTCCTTGGAGTAGAATAGGACCCAGTTCGGAAGGCTTACCTGAGTCTCATCAGTCATTGCATGAGTGCGGCAGAATAAATTACGTACATGAAAATTATGAATATAGCAGAATAAATAGCACAAAATAAACATCTGGGAAAGACTGGTGAGCGATCTCTGTTTGGTGTGTTCTATTAATATGTTATAATTGAGAATGTAGTTATAGTAGGGAACTACAGTGGACCCTCTACTTACGGAATTAATCCGTATTTGAACAGTGGCTGCAAGTTGAAAAGTCTGTAGGTCGAGTCTCCATTGACCTACAATGCATTGAAAATTGATTAATCCCGTAAATGGCCGTTTTTGTTCCGTTTTTGTTTCATTTTGGGGTTTTTCTGGTCTGTAGGTCGATTCTCTGGCTGCAAGTCGACCCTAAATTTTGCAGCCAGAGAAGTCTGTAACTCGAAAAGTCTGTAAGTCGAGCCGTCTGTAAGTTGAGGGTCCACTGTACAGAGTCCTTCATGATGAGAACATTGGGACAACATTGCTAGCCCGAAGCTACTTTTCTTGCAAGGATATTCAGGAGTTTTGTTTTTGCTTTGACACATATAGCAGTACTATCAGAAAGGATGAGTTAAAAAAAACCTCAGCTGGGCATCCTATTCAAGGAATGCGGAGCAGAAGGATATTGTGTGTTTCCCCCATCACTCCAGCAGCCCCTCATGACATGACAGATCTTGCAAGCAGTGCAAGACTAGGCACGTGGTGGGCAGACTGCCAGAGCAGAGAGAATGCTTAATTGATAGCCCTTCGACCCTGCCACCCCTGTATAAGATACTGCTTCATAGTTTTATGGAAAATTCCATAGCTTGATTTGAAGTAAAGCTAAAGGGTCCCCTTGACATTTAGTCCAGTCGTGTCTGACTCTAAGGGGCGGTGCTCATCCCCGTTTCCAAGCCACGTAGCCAGTACGACTAGACACAGAACGCCGTTACCTTCCCACCGTGGTGGTACCTATTTATTTCCTCGCATTTTTACATGCTTTTGAACTGCTAGGTTGGCGGGAGCTGGGACAAGCGATGGGAGCTCACTCCGTCATGTGGATTCGATCTTATGACTGCTGGTCTTCCAACTTTGCAGCACAGAGTCTTCTGCGGTTTAACCCCGCAGCAGCACGACGTCCTTATATAGCTTGATTTACCAATGCATTATTTTAAAATTATTTTTATTGCATTAAAGGCAGATTGCATTAGGCATTTTTAAAATTCATAGGCCAATAAAAGAGTAGTGAGTGAATAAATCTGTCATTGGTCAAAATTTCATGATGATACATGGTCTCAGTGTGTTTCAGGAGTGAGCTATGCATTATAAAATAAAGATGAAAATATCTATCTGCATTCATATGTCTTTCTGTTGTTGGTGTATTCAGGGTTTTAGAAGGTTGTCCTTTCCCTTCTGTTGTGTCATTTTGCCCTTTTCTATTTTCACGTTGATTATATAAAAAATCAGAGTTCTTCCATATTTCCTCCCACTTCCCCCCCCAAATTCATGTAGAAGAATGTTTTTGAAAGATAAAACAAGATAACTACATTAAATATACCCTTTTACCATACAAATACGCTAACCTTGAGTTTTACATCCATCTTGAAATTTTTAATTTTTTTATATTACATGCCACTATTTCCCCTGGATTGCATTTCAAAGCCTTTACAATACAGTTAAAAAGAACAAAAAGTTTCATTTAGAAACAGATGTCATAAGTATTAAAATAATGTGAATACGATTTTTGTCCCTTACTATTATACAAATGAGATACATGTTGCAGTGGATAAAGTTTTATGGTCTAAAGAGTAATGCAAAATTAACATATTGACTTGTATTCTGTTGTTTATGAACTGCATATGAGCCACTTCCACCTGTTTTTCTGCGTTCTTTGTGGCTTGCACATAGGAGAATCCTTCTAGCCCCTTGCAGAAGCAGAAATCTCCTTTGTTTCCAAGATTGTTAGGGTAGACACGGAGCCCTTATGCTCCATGTTTGCTCACAGGACTGAGGAGCCTGCTTCTTAGACAGTTTTGCATATTCAGTGCTCAGCTTCTTGGAAACTCTTAGTATTTCACACAGAGGTTCTGGTGAGCATGTGAATGTGTATGGGCTTGTCCATGTCCAAATAAGTCCTGTCCATGTCCAAATAAAAAAACTGGAATTTATGTGTATGTCTAATTGACTTTAAAAGATTAATAAGCTGTGGTTGTTTTCTAGCCCATCTTTTGCTTTCTGAAATTCTTGGGAGGTTCATGTGATGCAACATCACACTTAAACCTTCTGTAAGCTTGAGAATTTTTGGTGGCTCCAGTGTTCTGAGAATCTGTCAGCAAAGTCTCACTTCTTCAGGAAAACAGCAGTTTGAAGCCTCTCAAGCTGGCAGTGCAATAATCATTTTTGTCCTTGGCCTATGAACATGAGATCAAGCCAAACAGAAATACAAGGGCACCTTGCCTGCTTTAATATTCCCTAGGAAGTCAAAAGTTTATACAAAATTATATGGTGACCTTATATTTTCACACATATTCCTCCGACAGTGAGGAAATGCAGACTAATAGAGCTTCTTTAACTGCATTATAGGATTGAGGAGAAAGTAGGTTGGCATGAAACAGTTGGGATTCCCACAGGGAAGGGGGACAAAGTCTTCCTACTTCCTTTACCTTTACTGTTTCACTCTCGGGACTACTAGTGTAGCTTATAATTCACCTGAGTTTCAGTAAACATCCACAGAAACTGCAGATTGCCCCTAATCACTGTGACTATTTTACAGATAGTTTTTGGGCCAGCAGAAAGTATCCAGCATATACCTTCAAGTGAAACTAATGTAATGCATCTAGTCCAGTCTTGTCCTCATTTATGGCCGTTACATAAGACCATTTTCCGACTGCACCAGAACATACATTGCATGACATTGCCTGTCTTCAGTGTAAAGTAGATCAACATCATAAATATTTTTTGCAATGCTGTGGCATTGTAAAAAAAACTGAAATGTTCCAGTTCCTGCCTACAGAATAACATGATACAATAATAAAAAAAGACACTCTAGGAAAGATATTGGAAACTGTGGAAAAGATATTTGGAGGAAGGCAAATGACATTTGAAGTAGTGATAGAAGCAGTTTGATCTTATTTACTGTCCAATAAGTCATATTTGTTTTATTGCAACAAACTAAGGTACATTTCAAAGACTTCATGCTGAACCCGCATATTATGAGGTTTAACTCACCATCTCTCTCCTTTTCAGTTTATGTACTAGCAAATGGACTGCCTTTGCCATTCATCCCCCTCCCACTCCCTTCTCTCCTCTCCATCCTCCTTCCCATTATTCCATTGGTTTCTTTCTATCTACCATGGCACTCATTCAGCATTGTAGTTTGACTACAGTGCTGTATTGCCTTTCTTACCCTTGCCCAACTTGGGTTTTTTTTCATGCTCATCTTTTGGAAAGGTAATCTAGACCAGAGGTCCCCAACCCCCGGTCCGGTGCCAGTCCGTGGCCTGAGCTGGACCGGGCCGCGGAGACAGACTTCCCGCCCCCCCCCACGCACTCACCCCCGCACAGCTGATTTGTGCATGCGCACGAGCATGTGTGCACCTGCACAGGTGCCACACCACTGTTTGCACATGCACATGTGCTTGTTCGCACGTGTGCACGAGCGTGGGGGGTGCCATGCCTTCCCAGCCAGTCCATGGGGTGAAAAAGGTTGGGGACCCCTGATCTAGAGTACAACTCCCAGCTTATATGACCAGTTGGTATATAACCTAACCAGTCATGATTGTTGGGAAATCAGTACAGACTGTGCAAAGTTTTGTGTTTCCACCCCTTAGCATTTTTAGGTCTTTCAGGACAAATGAACACTTTCTGTTACAAGAAGATTTTTATATGGTTTGTCCATCTTTTTCAGATCTCAGAATCTCAACTGTTCTTTTTTGTGTTCATGATATGGGTATTTTTTACTATGAGGAGGACAGGCAATGTCGTTTACAAAAGAAAAGTGGAATGTATCAACCATCAGCTTTGATGAGTCAGGGGAACTTACGAAGACCAGCTCCATACTGAAACTAGTGCTGGTGCAAAATTTTGTCCATGTTGTTTTCCTGGACATTGCTTGAAATGAAGCACCCATTTCAGCATTACAAATGCATTAGATTTCATATTTGTAATGACTTCTCACAACCTTATAGGGTACCACTGGCTATTTCATTGCTATGCCACTTGACATGGAGATTTTTATGCTACTGCATTACTTTTGGATGGTGCTTGAGGCAGTGCACTAGGAACTAGAATGAAATGATATCTGGTGGGACATGTGGTTGTTATTTGTTGATGTTTCATTTTCCATGTAGTGGTCAAGTGTTAGTCTGGTATTTGGAATGTCTGGGTTCAAGTTCCTATAAAGCTATGAAACTCAACGGATGACCTTGGGCTGGACATTAACTCTTTTAACCTAACCTACCTCACAAGATTGTTCAGAAGATGATGTAGAGAAGAGACCATCAAGATTTCAATGCAGGAAAGAAAGGGCATAAATTTAACTAATAATAATGAGTAATCAGCATTTTGTGTATTAATATTTTTAGAATAGATTAGTTCTTAGAGTAAAAGCACTGAACAGTTAGTAACTATGTTGATAACAGCTAATATTGAAGACTGTCCATGTTAGTAAATACACTTCTGTAATATGTATGTGGCATGTTCTCAGTTTCAGAATGGCTGCGATTACTGCCTTTCCTGGGTGTTCTTGCTCTGCTGGGATACCTTGCTATTCGCCCATTCTTTCCGAAAAAGAAGCAACAGAAGGATAGTTTGATTAATCTCAAGATCCAGAAGGAGAACCCTAAAGTAGTGAATGAAATCAACATTGAGGATTTGTGTCACACTAAGGCGGTATATTGTAGGTGCTGGCGCTCAAAAACGGTGAGTTATTTTATTGCTTTGCTGTATGGTTTAATGGTTTTTTCTCTGTTACTTTGTTTTGTATCTTGGGTGATACATTTGTTTCTTTTAATTGTCATAACAATGCAGTATGTTGTTGCACATATAATGATTTTTCTTTACTTGTGAGATATTGGTTTCCATTACATTTTTGCCACACATATTTTAGTCATTCAGATACCGGTAGATATCCATATGCCCAAATCTCCATAATGAGATAAAATATTTCAAACAGCTTTTCCCAATATACTCTGGTGAGATGGTTCCAAGAGCTTTGGGATAAGGAAACATGCATTTTATACCTCAGTTGCATAGACTTCACAAATATCTGCCAATAGCAGACTTGTAAAATATATTGATTCTCTCCTTCCTAGTATTATAGGTGAAAACAAAATTTAAAAAGTAAAAAAAGACAAAAACATAGGGGCACCTTAAAGACTACCTTTTATATTTTTTATGTGAGCTTGCATGGACAAGTCTGCTTCATCAGACATAAGAGCATAAGAGAAGAAATAAAATGGCAAATACTAATACATGGCATCAATGTATAGATAGCAATACAGAGATCATGGTTGGTTGGTGAGAAAGTCCAAGGGTGATGATAGTGTCTTTGATATGCGGGTCTTTTGTAGAAGCTTTTGTGCTGTAAAAAATGTGAGAACCCTGCCATAAATTAACAATGGTAAAATAATAATGGTAGAGTAACATAAATGGTAATTAGATGGGCTATTTATGAACTTTTCTAGAAGCTGTTCTTTGTAATCAGTGTGTGAGTGACCCAGGCAATGGATGACCACAGAGTAAAATTTATTTTACCTTAGAAATTTCTAAGGTGAATCCATTGAGGGAGGAAAATTATCTGTGAGATGCAGTACAGTACAATATTTTTAGTATGTATATCTGGTAGTGCCCAAAAAAACCTTGGCTTGTATTAAGTCCTTTGATATGTGTGCCTTAACACACATATATATTCTATCTCAGCTGTTTCTGGATTCTTTTCCTATGGTTTCTTTTTTTCTAGGATGTCCACTTTCAACTTGTCTGTGGGGTGTCTTGGTAAATTTAAATGATGTGAAACAGTTTTGTGTGTTGCCATTCCTCGTGTCTGATTTATGTCCATTGATTTGTTTGTGTAGATATTGTTCTCTTTGTCCTATTTACAGTGGAGATGGGCATTGTTGGCAGAAAGTGAAGGCTGATGGGAGCTGTAGTACCTCAACAACCAGAGGGTCACATGTTTGTCATCCCTATAGGATAAATTGAGGTTTCCACTAACCATCATTATGAACACAACTATGATTTAAACTTTTCATTTTAATTACCATCTACTGTGCTGTTATATCTCCAGGTGCAAAAGTCTCTGGAGATGGGACACAGTAATTATCATTGGTCAGGTTGGGCAGCATTCCCAATGCAGCTAGGGCAAACCACATTTGGCAAACCTACATTAACTCTTAGCATCTTGTTCTGCTAGCCAGTCATAAACAACAATTGGTTAACCTGGGCATCAAATCCTAGTCAAATTTTCTTTACCATGCTCTTTGGACAGGGCATTTGTGTCCCAATTATTCTTGCACCTGGATACAAAAAATATTGATATGTGTTGCATGTAACATTCTACATGATAATTTCATTATATCAGAAGTGGAACCAAGAAAAGAAAAGGAAGGATATAAAAAATAAGTGGCATGTACTCATTGGCTTTAGCATTACAGCTGCTGTTCTCCAGCAGGTTATTTTACAACGTGCAGGATGTTGACTGCAGGTCACTGATTAGCAACAGATCCCAGATGGTACTGCTATTGGCAACTCATTGATCTGTACCAAAAAACTATATAACTGAAACAAAAGTTCTAAGAATGTATAGGAACAACTTCAACGGGTCATATATTACATGCTGCCTTGTCTAGTAGTTGATAACCAGTGATGAGGGTGGAACAAGTAACCGATCAAGAAGGCACAAAATGTTAAGTTAGTAGCTGAATATGTTATCATTGTAAAACTTTTCTAAATCATCATAACATTTTTGTACCCCAGTATGTTCAAAAAATAATCTTACCTACCTTTTTTCCCCTTTTCAGTTCCCTGCCTGCGATGGCTCTCACAATAAGCATAATGAGTCAACAGGAGACAATGTGGGTCCATTAATACTCAAGAAGAAAGAAGTCTAGCAAATACCTATATAAACCATGACTGGAAGTCTACTTATACCTATATGTGGTTGTGCTTTCAGCCTAATAATTTCTATAGATATGAGTTTTGATATCTTTCTAGGTCAACTTAGATTTATTGACTGTTAGCTATGTGGTGATATTTTGTATGGTCTGAAAAATTATGTTGAACATAACTGAAAAACCCCAGTAAATCACTGTAATAACAAAATTTCTGTTCCTAGACCTGTAAAATAATCTGTAATAAAAAGTTACTCTTAAGCAAGAATGCAGTAGACCAAGAATGCCTCCCACAGACCACAAGAAGGAGAGGATTGCCCCCCTCGTGCTATTTAGCAAAGCTCTGGTCTTGCAGAGGCAGACGTGACATATCTTCTCCTGTAAGTGATAACTCCAGGTGTGTAGTAGAAGAGGATTCCAACTGACACCAGGACTGGTCTGACTCCTTTTACTCTCATTCCTTGTTATAGGAGGGAATCAATTTTCAGTCTTAGGGAGGGGGAAAACAGCTGAAAATTGGCTCGTTTGCTTCTGGAAAGAGTTTAGCAATGCCTTGGATAAACTGGTACCCCTAGGACCAAAGTGCTTCATGGATTGGACTCCTCACCTTATGAGCGTTTATGTCTCTTTTGTTTATAGACCCATCTACACTACAGAATTAAACAGGCTTAAAAGCATTTGAACTGCCATGACCTGGACTGTAAAACTCTCAGAAGTACAGCTTTTTGAGACTGTTGAGAATGTATTTTTTTTCTTACCATAGTGACTATTGTTACAGGTTTTTTTACAGATGGACAGTCTTGGCTTAAGTCTTAGCTGGTTCAGGAATCTGCAGATGGTCAGTCACTGTTGTTTGTCGAGATATAACAATTTGAAAATATGAAAGTTGAATGTATGTGGGGGGGAGGGGTTGTTAACAGAATTACTTGTCTTTGAGAATCTTGATTGAGAACATACTTGTAAGCTGATTTACATTAATACTGTAGATCTGAGTGCTGGTCTATTTTCTGATTTTTAATACAGACTGTACTTCATAATTCTAATGGCTAATACTTGATTTAAAGGCTTTTGAATATCAAATTCATGTTACAGTGTTGGGACACAGAGATTCAAAATCAGCACTGTCTATTTGCACAATCTGGAGTGCTACTTAGCTGCTTGCCTATATAAAATGATATGTGGAAACTTATTATTAAGACTAGCGCTCACACCAAAGAAAAAGTGTTCATATCAGTATGTTTGAAAAGAAGAATACAAGAAACTTAAAGCTTGTCTAGTCCTGTTTATGCACAGTCCTAAGATTGTTTCCTTTAAGAGACTTGCACAGGTTGTTGTGATCTTCTTGAGCCTATACAGCCAACATATTGTTGTTACTATGTGCCATCAAGTCAGAATTGACTTGTACATAGTAGGGTTTTTGAATTGTGCAAGATATTCAAGGGGTGGTGTACCATTGCTATGTTCAAATGAGTCTCTGTGTTAGCAAGGTTTTGAACCCAGGTCTCTTGAGTCATAGCCTGAAGCTCAGTTTATTACACTACACCACACTGACTCCCGTATTGACTATATAGTTAGTTCCAAATTTGATGCACAACCATAATAGTCAAGATTTGCATTGTACTTCATTTATGCTATGGAAAATATCTGCTGCCACAGAAAGATCAACCAAACTTGGACTGACAATGATATAAACTCTAAACCCATTGAGATACTGTTTCTGTCCACATGATAGCAGTGAAGTGAGACCTGATTTGCATCATCTCTTTCTTCTCAGATAGGTATCCCAAAAAGTGTCTTTGGAAAACTTGCTTCTAACACTTTTATTAAAAATTAATCCAACTACTGTGGGAACTATTCACCCTATCAAAAAAAACACACACATTAAAAGCAAAGGTTAGTTGTGTCTCGATACATTCATTCACTAGTTCCAAAACAACTGTTAAGATATGTTATAGGTGAGTCATTCCAGTCTCTCAATGGAAAGGAACTCCTGTTAAGAAAGACTGAGAGTTTTATATATAATACCATTGAATATTGCAGCACTCTGCATCTTTGTAAAAGCATTTTAATTTTTTTTAGTATCAAATATCAAATTTGTCATGAAGTAGGAATAACACAAGGGGAAAACAAATCAAATTATAATTGATAGCAGTGTACAGTGGAATAAAGAAATGCAACCTTTTCAGGAATTCCCAGCTGGAAGGCACTTCAAAGAAAGGTGGTACAGTGCAGCCTCCTGTAGCAACATGGTGTCTTTGGTTTGATAGAGAAATGAATCCCAGTGTGATTAAAAAACCTGGTTCCATGGCACTTTTGCACCTTACAAAGGTGGTAGAATTATTAATTTTGCCCCTAGTTTTGGAAAATGATTATGGAAGATCAACCTCTATTTAAAACAAATCTACTCAGGCAGTCAGATCTGGATATGTTGAAAAGACTGAAGACATCTTACAGGAGGAAAATGGAGGAAACTAAACCATATCCGAGCCTTTTGTTCCCCCTAGTGAAATATCTTGGAAAAGGAATATAAAGTGCAAATTATTAGCATTGACTGTTCCTCATCACGAATAGTTGGCCCTTTTTTAATGTATCTATGCAAAGCCAACAACAATAATTGATGCAGCTTTTGGGGCAGAGGAGCAGGAAGGGTAGAAGCAAGTTTAGAGTTTGGGAAATGGTAGTAGTTGCCTTTTGAAACTTCCATAATAATCTTTCGGACAGCAAATGTGATCCAAGGACTTCTCTTGTGCCATTTTTCAAGTAATGTACCTGTGTACAACAGTTTTAAAAACATTGAACTGTAATATCTTTTCATCTTTTCACCACAGTAGAAAAAAACACAGATTTGACGACTTTTTATATTTCTGTTTTTCATACAGTTGGCAGGGATGAGATTGTAAGCATTACAACCCAGCAGCCATTTAAAAATGCTGGGACTAGAGTATAAAGCCGAGTATTGGCATATGTTTGGTCCTGTAAAGCAATCAATAGCTTTCAAAGAAGAGCCACATGTCAACCTGAAACTGTTGGATTTATGGCAATTGGGATACATGTAAGCAAGTGGGAGGCAATTTGTAAGTATCCCAGTCATAGCTTTAGCCTTCTCTTAACTATGGAGTAATCCATTTTGTTCTCTGTAAAACAGCCTTCCGAAAGGTGACACATGTGGTGTCAAAATCGTAAAATGACACAGTACCACAATCACAGGTATGAAAGACAGAATTATAAGGTTTGTGTGTAGCTCTGAAACTCATACTTTGCCAAAGCCTACTAGTATTTTATTCTTTAGAGGGGGAAAACACAAGAACTTTTGTTTTGTTGAATCATATGCTTGGTTGTCAGTAGATCACAGCAGTCCAGCCAACAGTGCATCTTAATGGTTTTTGTTATTTTCATTTGCTAAATTCGTATCTTACCACTTCCACTACTAATAACGCTTGTTTGGACTGTTTGTGTTTTAAAAATGCAACAAGGGGGAAATTAACATTGGAAGGTGCAGGGAGTGAGTGTATATATCCATGGTGAGCACATAACTGCCTTGTGTACTGAAGAGAAATTAAAGAGAATTGGAACATTTGCCGTCCGTTCCAAAATCCATGCTCCCACTCTTACTTATTTCCAGTATTGGTTCTACTCACAGTTAGTCCAATATCACCTTATTTACTCCTAGCTACTTCAAGGGCCATCTTGAAAGCTTTCTGTTCTCCTGCTGTTACTTGTTTCCCTGAATCAGACAACTGTCAGTTATCCATTTCACTTGTGGACACTTTCCTCCCAAAGTCCTATTTTCAAAGATTAGAATCTTGGATGCTGGTTTAATATAACTATTTCTTTTTCAACTTTGCTGTTTTAGCAGGACCTGCAATCCATTCCATAGGTTTTCTGATGTCTGCCCACCATTAAAGGACATGCTAATTAAAGCTGGGAATACCAACGGAGTGATATTTGGCCATCCACTTATACTTCTTTAAACTGGTGATCGTAGCTTTTTTCCTTTTTGGGTCCTATCTTCCACACTGTCTGAACCACTTGTTTTATGGAGAAGTTTTGGTCCTGTCAGGCCAATTATGAGAGCTCCAGTTGGGGCTGTGATCAAGATAGCAAGGAATGCTACTGTCAAGATGCTCAAGCCATATTGTTGTAGTTGTTCAATATTATGTAGTCGTGCTGTATCCAAGGCGACAGAACCAATTGCAGCCTGCAGAGAAGATAAAGAAAATGACGCTGGCTTGGAGCCTAAGATAATTTGTGGATAGAGGTATGCAGATTTGTGTTTTTGGTTGCCTGGCCAATTCTGGGAACTGCAGTCCAAAAGTACAAATCTGCACACATCTAGTCAGAGAGAGCCTCCCCCAGCCCCCTTTTTAGCCACTTAGACCTTGTGCCAAAAGCTTTTCTGCATGAGGAAGGTTCCTCTCTGAATAATGGGGGATAAGACAGAGGGGCTGCAATTACAGCAGTCATCATTTACTAGTTGCCATAACTAGCCACCATCTCTAGGATCAGAGGGTACTTGCCTCCAAAGTGGACGAGGAACAATGTCAAGAGGAAAGGAAGAAGGACATCAGATTGGCACCAGAATAAGGACAGGCCTTTGGGCTGATCTCACAGGTTTCACACCATCTTCCTTTGTAAATTCCTCTTTTCTCTGTTTTGTTTTTATCACAACAGTATGATTTTTGAATCAGTGTTACTCAGGATTACCTTCTTAACCCCAGCTTGAAACCAGGTTTTAAAATGGGTTTGCAAATGTATGAAGAAATCTCGATCTTGACTTTGCAAGTATATCACTAGAGTGTAGTTCAGGGAAAAATAGGAAAGAGGCAAGGATTTGTACAGAAGGGATAAAAAGGAAGTGCAGGCTTTGTATGCAGGAATAGGAGCTTGTGTACACAGTCTGTAGTTCTTATGCATAAAGAGTGATGATAAGAGATTTGAAGCAAGAAAGGAAGGACATAAAGAATGAGGTACTATAAGGCAATTGTTTTCCAAGTTGCTTCCTAGAATCGAAGTGGTGTCCTTCCTATGCACATTAATAAACTACGGTGCACAGTTGGTATGTGCACAGGCTTCTTCTGAAGGTGTACTTTACCTGGACTGTTGCTTTGGGGATCCATGCTAGTGCGATAAACAATTTCTCCTTGAAATCAAAACCAGCGGCAGTTGCCATTAAAAAAGTAGCAATAACTCGTACTGCTAAGGCCAGACCCAAAGTAGCCAAACATAGTCCTGCGGCAAAAACAGATACTTAATTACTCCTTTCTGAAAAAAGCAAGTTCCCTCTTCCATTATAGAACAACAGACAGCATGAGTTGTCTTTGGTGTGATGAGGTCCAATTCAATATAAGCAGTTATCCAATGAAAGATATGCAGCTTGCAAAGCCCAATGTTTAAATTACAGTGTGGCTGTTTGGGGATTCGGAGATTTGTAGTACGAACAATATTTCCAAGTTCTGGATGCCTTTGTTTTTGGCAAATAAGACCATTATTTATTTTATTTATTTATTTTAAAATATTTTAAACCCGCCTTTCCCCTTAAAAAGGGCCTAAGGTGGCTTATAGGAATTGAAAGACAATGTTTAAGATTAGCAACAATGAATGTACAGTATTAAAAGGATCAATTAATACAACACCAAAAAACATAAGCAACACCAAAACACACTTAAAGCAGTGAGGTACAACAATCCATTTTTTTAAAAAAACATTCAGCAGCTATTTACTTAGGGAAAGCTTGCCTGAAAAGAAAGGTCTTTGACTACTTGCAGAAGGAAAGTAATTTACAGTCTTTCATTGACTTTTATATTTATTTTTAACCCATATTCCATTTTTCTTTTTAAAAATAAGGTGAGTGTGTTTACTAAGATTTATGTTGCCAGTAATTACATTCAGACCTTTTATTCCAAAGTCATTTCTATTAAATTTTAAGAAAATCAAAGGAAGAGTCCTCCTAATCAGCCTGTGCAAGATTAACAAAGAGCCAGCTCTGTTGCTTCACAATAATTTTTTTAAAAGACAATCAAAACAGAAAGACATCCCATGTGTAACAACACCAATCTAGCTTTTGCCTTTTCTAGAATTCTCTCATGCTGCCTCTGGAAGCCAGCATAGCGTACTGAAAATTACTTTTTCTAATCTGCCATCCATAAAATGCCTTGTCTATCATGGAATAGTATTACATCATTCAGTTTAATCAGCAATTGTAAGCAATTGATTATTAGGCAATTGAGAACAAGATAGTTGATCAGCTCCCAATTAGATTTTAATTGAATGTTACATTTTTTTTAATTTTAAAAATTACTATTATGAGAGAATGAAAGCTTCAGTATTTCCAGAAATACTCAATTCTTTGCCAAGGTAAGCTAGCTACAGCATCTCTCAGTTTCACAGTTGTTGTTTAGCAGACTTACCAACCATTTTAATTCCAAGACTGATAACAGATATTTCGGCTCCTATTAAGCCAAACAGAAAGGGCTGAAAAATATGCCAAGCCACTGAAACCTTTTCTTCCACAGCTTTCTGCAGAGCAAAGAGTAAGCATATGCAATGTTACAGGAAAAGATGGTGTTACTGCTACAGGAAATGGCTTGTGTGACAGGTTAAAAATGTTGACTCAATCAAGATACTACCTTGTTTGTTCTACCCTGATTCTTCTTCTGTTTGAAAAAGAGGTATTGGTACCTTCCAAATGTTATTAAACTTTCTGTTCTCCAAAACATAACAAAGTTTACAAGATTATCACGATGCTAGCTGAATCTACATTATTTCAAAAGCTGAAGTTTCTGCAGATTGGCAGCTGATTCTCTTGGTTTTATTGTTTATTTGTCCATCTTTTATTTCAGACACACAAACCTCTCCCAAACCTGTAGAGAAGTTTCAGTATCAGTTCACTGGAATTTTCTCCAATTCTAGTTCCATGCAACAAACAGTGACTGGAGGTGGAATGTAGTGCATCTTATAGCTACATCAAAAGACACATCTAGCTTGTTCAACAGAGCCTGAATAAGCATCATTATTCAGATAAGGAAATACATAAGCACTGCTCATGCAAAAGCCAGCTTCAGTATATGTATCATGTTTCCTGCATCAGGGCCCTAAACCTGAAAGGACAAAAGATGCCTCTTGGGCCAGACACAGTTCTCTTGGGCCCCAGTCGTGATCCCCTAGAACTCCCCTATATACAAAAAATCTGCTAGTATCCTCCAGGAGGCAGGTGTATTGTGTTTAGAAGGCTTTCCAATAGTCTGGCATCCACTACACTTCCAAGTTGTTATTTTTAAATTTTATTGGTATTTTACAGTAAAAGCAAAAAGAAAAACATTTTCCTAAGTCTTTTTCCCCAGGTTAGGTCAAGGCAGCAGATACAACCATCTAAAATTTAGAGATGGGAATATATGTCCTGGACTTGTGGAAAATGAGAATGACCAGTTATACTTTAAATATCTCCTACTGGCATCTAATCCGTTTCACATAACTGTTCTGAATAACTGTGAGTTCTCAGTAGTGTGTTTACTGAATACAGTACTTACCTTCTCATCACCCCATGCCAGCCCTCCCAGAAATGCAAAGATAATTGTACAGAGACCACCAGATCCATGTATGTTAAAAATCCTGCTTCCCAAAAGACTAAATGCAGATAAACCCATCACGAAGAATGTTCTTTTCCATGCAAGTGCTGTCTAGAATCAGAAAAGAAAAGGGAAACGTACATTGAAGAATGATTAAAAATCACTAGAACAATATTGGGACGTGACAGACCAGACATTCACGGCATCATCGCTTTGGAAGGACAAGTTACAGCTGAGCACTCCAACAAGACTAGCCATTTTAAGTCACTTGCTGACTAAAAGCCCAACCTTAACCACAGTGTGGCTGCGTTCATTCTCACAGAGAAACAAGCAGCCCAAATTCCATCTCTCCTGTAGACATTACAGTGCAAGTAACCAATCCATAAAGCATAATCACAAAAGACTGTGCCTCCTAATAGTTATGAAAGCCAAAGTATTTTTGTGTTGCATTTAAAATGTACTTAGTCTTGAACTGGAACAAAAGACTCCAGTACACTGACTCGGTGGAAAATTAATAGTCTTCATAAATGGAACACTAGTCATGACAAAAAAAATACTAGTAAAATAAGCTGGAGTCCCATGTTTGAAAAAAGTAATGTTCACAACCTAGGTCCCTCCAGATGTGTTAGACCAATATCTTAGCCAGTGGTGTGCATACTGTCGGGATGAACACAGAGGTGGTCTAGGTGGGAAATAAAGGCTTCATAACTTCTAAAACTCACCATGTTATCCATCCATAGCATTTGAACTTGTCAGTAGTACCTTCAGATTCTCCATGTTTCTTCTATATATATTTACAAATCATTTTGGAGGACAGCAGGTTGGAAAAGGCTGATTTGTAACATATTCTTAACCAATACTAACTTAAACATTGATAGTTTGTATTTTAATTTTTTTACCACTCAGAGGTTGGTTGGTTTTTGGGATAGGTTACCTGATCTCTGCTTGGAAAGTACCAAATAAAAATTCCCAGAACGACACCAGCTCCTATACCAATTGCAATTTCCATTACACCATGGAGGAGACTTTTAATGGTAGACCCTGTTTGGACAAATGAGAAATGAATGTTTTAAACAAATTTTCACTTTATCTCTCTGCTACGATTAGTCTAGTCAGTTGATAGATAGCAGCTAGCTATTTCAAGGAAATCTTTTTTTTTTTTTTACATTACCAATATAAGGTAAAAACTAAAGTTGTGGAACACAAGTAGGACCACCACCTGAAAGTCTGCCAGTATTGCCTATGAGAAAGCACAGTCAGTCTTTCATCAGCTTTCCCTTGGAGATAAACCCATCTCTAAAATGCAGTTCCTTGTAGACAAAGAACAAGTGGATCGAATATCGGGTTTTGCACAACTGCTGGGGGGAAATTCTTCCCATTTACAATAATCTGGTAGATGTTCAGTACTAAAATTTGTCCACTAAGCCATGACACAAAAATTGTACATTGTGTTTTGCATTTACCTACTTTTTAGAAAAGCAAGCACTGGTGAATGGTATGGAATGTAGCGCTCTATAGTCTCTACCCATCCTGAAACAAAATAGTTTTAGCTCTTCCTAAGGCTGTCTTGTGTTCTCGCACTGTCCCCCTCCCCTACTGGTTATATATGAAAGCTCATCTATTCTATGAAGTAACTAGCAACAGTACCTGAAGAAAAGGCCATGCCTAAGAAGGTGTTGAAACCCGTGATGGCCACAATATCATCCACACTACCAGCAGCTATTAGCAAGGTTGGGATGCCTTTGTCGACACCATATCCTCTGGCTTGTAACCCCAGCATTGAAAGGACGACAATAGCAGGAGACACAGCTCCTAGGACAAATCTGAAAGCAAACAATGTGCAGATAAATCAGTTGTCTGTGGTGTCCTCTTTACAGAAGGCATGGTCCACATGTGATAAAACACAGTGACTACTTAATGACCACCCCACCCCATCATAATCAGCTGCAGGGATTATTAATAGTATTAATATATAGTATTTAAAAAATGGGAACAAATAACCATCTTCTCCTGACCCTCAAAGCCAATGTCATACATTTTCACTGGTAAAAAAAAAATCCAATAGGGTAAGGAAATCTTCTCAACATTTCCACTCTCAGAGCTGGCAACTTCCAAAAAACCATCTATGTTACATTCATTTCTGGATCTTTCATAAGAAGGAGGAAAAAAGGAAAAATTCTGATTGTGCCAGTGCAAGCTACTTGGCTCCCTGCAGCTGATTGTGATGGGGTAGGGTGGTCATTAAGTAGTCACTGTGTTTTATCACAGCAGGAACAACCAAGAGAATACGGATATATTTAAACTTGTTCATTTATTAGGTACCACAAGACATTTTTTTCTTTTTTGCTGACTGTTATGAGCACTACAAAAACCAAAAGATGCCAGCAGGAAGACCCTGCATGAGCAAGACTTGGGGGGGTTTTGCCTTTGAAATGTAAGCTTTGCTATCTGGCACACAAGGTAAGCTGAATGCCTTCTTACCCTAACATAAATGCCCATTCCCATGGCAGGCCCATGATAAAATGGGAGATGACGGCTGCTGCGCACGATTCAATGATGCAGGGCCCCAAGCTTAGTCGGAGGCAGACAGCTTTTAATTTATACAGAGCCTGAAAGAGAATAATATTGACAAATCAGCAATACAACTTTTCTTAGTGTCAGAATAAAACTTGGAAATTTGCTCTGTATTTCACAGCCTTCATTGTATGCAGAGTATGGAGCCCAAAAACATATAAATGGGTTCTCATTATTTAAATTAAAGTGATTTCATTCTTTAAAAATGGGTTCCAATGGTCCTCCTGTCCATGAAGATGGATGTTAAGATTTTAAGGTCTTGCTTGCAAGTTCTTTGTTTGCATTATGGGCACAATGCATTCCAGCAAGCTGCTCATTGCAGTCTTGTTTTTAAGCACTAGCCAAGTTGCACTAAGAGAATCAGAACTATGTGGGGGCCAGTATGCAACTCAGTGGAGGGAAGTTAGAGCACTACTTCCTTACTCTGTGCCAAGCATAGAAAACAAGTGGGCTGATTTAGGACTGGAGCATCTTCCTGCATGCCTTGCATAGAACTATATCTCAGCCAGTGCCTGGTGGGCTAAAATACCTATTTTTGCAGGCTGGTAACCATGGAGGGCTTGCTTATAAAGCTGACATCCTAGATCAATAGCACGTCATGTTTCTGTGGCCACCAATTTTTAAAGGTAACCCGGATATACCAACTTCTGTGTCTAGTGAGAGATTAGTTTCCTTTTGGTCAGATGGCATTAGAGACTTACAGGATCTATGTTTACAAATGCACAAGCAGAGCACAAGAAGACATGTGTTTCTTACAAGGCAGCAGATCACCAGAGACCAACATGGGCAGCCTCCTAGGCTGTAGCCATACAGTCAAAGTAGATATTGAAGATAGTACACTATATTTTTTTACCCAGTGGAATCTCCTGAGAGCTATGCATGCATAATTCAAGATACTCTGGTGAAGAATACCAACAGGTTGTTGTGGGTTTTTCGAGCTCTCTTTCATAAATTAGAAAGGTTTCTTTCATAAATTAGAGGTGGTATCTTTCTCTTTCTCGAAAAACAAAATCAATCAATCAAACAAACAAACAACACATAACCAAACAAGCCGCTTTCTGGTTTGACCCTGATAACTTCAGTTCAGTCCATATGGAAACTCATTCCGTCTGTCACCTTTGCTTCCAAACTAACCCTTGTTTATTTTCCTATCCTATACGTACATTTGTTACCTTCCCTTCTAGACATGGTATCAGTTTCTCCAAATTCCCAGGACTGTCACATCAAAGCACACAGAGAAATCGTTAATTATCAGGAAACCAGCCTTGCTCGAAAGTCTGCCTTCCCTGTTCAGGTCCAGATTATATGAAGGATCCTATGTCTCAGCCTTCTTGGCTCCTAAGATCTTTGGGCAATGTCCTTCTCTCAGCCCCACTGCCTTCACAGGCAAATATGGTGGGCACACAAGAGAGGGCCTTCTATGTGGCTGCTCTTGCATTGCAGAATATTCTTCCTTGGAGGGTACATTGCCCCCACTCCCTCCTGTCTTTCTGGCATCCAGTCAAGATGTTTCATTTTAAACAGACTTTTGACAATCACATTCAGTACCAAGGCCAGACTCTCCCTGCGATTATGATATTTTAAAGTGTGTTTTTAAAAGTCCCTTTAGTGTTTTCATATGATCAGTTTTATTCTACAGTATGTTTAATTGTTTTTAATAGTATATAATTATTGTTCTTTTAACTTTACTTGTATTTCAGTTGTTGTGAACCACTTTATGTCCCATTATAGAAGGAAGGCAGCACACAAATGATATAAATAAATTAACAAGCAAACAAACAAGCAGGACCACAACCTCTATCATCCACAACCATTGTCTTTTCTTCCTTTAAATAATTATAAGGTTCAGAGTGAGAGATCTGGATGGAAGAGCAAAATCTTATCTCCTCCTCACCCAGAATGATCAGAAAATCACCTGTTCTCATGTGACTAGAGTGTTCGGGACATTTTCTTAAGTATTTTAGCTCTGTACAATTAACAGGAAAAGGGGGATAGGTTTTCTCTAATCACAGTTGGAAGGGAGGAGACATCATTATTTCCACTGTGCTGTTTTTCTGATAAGGATCCTCCTTCTGAAGTTTCCAAATACTTAAAGTCAAAAAAATGAAGACATATTACACATTAGATATAACAGAATAGCTTGGCTGGAGAGTTCAACAGAACATAAGACAGCATAAGATTTTGTATTGATTAAGGATAATCCAATACTCTACCTCCGGGTTAAGGCCAAGACCAGCGAGAGCCAAGATAATCGAGAGGGCAATGTTTCTCAGGACGGCTCCCCATTGCACGTTGATCTTAACTATGTTGCTGGTGAAGGGGATATTTCTGATGAGACTTCCAGCTAGCAACATCCCTGTATGGGAGAGAAAAAGCCATCTCACCAATCATTTACATGTTGTGACAACATCATTTGGAAAACTCTTTATAGAATTAGAGGGCCACAGTGCTGAGACACAAAAACTGATCCTTTTAGCAAATGTATGACACACAGAGAGAACTAAATAATGAGAAGGGCATACAAGCTCCTGGACCTGATACAAATGGAAATTCAACTCACTTCTTTGGTACTCCAGCTCAATGTGCTTACCCTCCCTGCTGCCCCTTCTTACAGGCACCACGCAATGAAGCAGCAGCTCATCCAGCATACTGCATTCTAACCATTCCAACAAGGACTCCACAGCCATCAGAAACACAAATATTAAATTTTCTTCATAAAGATTATGCCATGTTAGGGAAACCTGCACCCATGGCATTTCTGATCATCACACAGTTGTTGTCAAACACATCAAGAAGGCTGTTGTCAAGAGCAAAGATGGCAGTTCTATTTCCACCTCAGATTTGGTTTGATGCAGGCTATCTTGTTTGAACTATATGTTCATCACAAACATAATATGTTCATCGGAATAAAACTGAAAAAATGACATAGGATGTCAAAGCATGATTATCCTAGCCTCTTTTCTTCTTCTTAAAAGTAGATCAACCAGAGGAGGTTGACTCCTTCCCTATTTCCCTCTGTTTCAACCCCTTGGAAGCTGCTGCTATTCATAAACTGGAAAGGCACCCATATGGGTATCTTCCCCCCCCCCTTTACAATGGATTTACGTAAGTCACAACAACTAGGAAAGTAAGGTTTTTTTTTTCAATTAAAAGATGTTTTAATTCAAAGCATTCCACTTCTGGCATCTTAAAAAAGACCCACAGCACCTCTTTTGACCCTTGGGATGAATTGGGGTTTTTTTAATAACAAAAGGGATCTCTCCAATTAAATTGATCCCTGCTGGATGCATTCTTTCTTACAGTCAGAGGAAAGAGCAAAGAGAGAAATAGCATTCCTCCTTCTATCTGCTGTTGCTGCTTTTTCTTTTTTTCCATTTCACAGAATCAGCAAGGTGTTCTTGTGCTGGTGTGCCTTTTGCAGATCAAATGGAATGAAAACTCCCTTGAATTGCTTGAAAAATCATATATCTGACCAACAGTGCAGAAGAAAGGAAAGAAGCAAATGTAGAGAAAACTACATAAAAACAAAGATTGTTTTATTTATTTTGCCCATATCTAGAGAATTTAGTCCAAATTTCTATTGGAAACATATAAACATATGACTGAAATCCTGTTGCATGGCATAGTGAACATCACCAAAATATTGAATCAGTAGAGATTTGGTAAGCCAACTTCTCCACAAGATTCATTGATTCAAATGGCCATCCTCTAGTTGTGACATACTATGCTAAAGTACATCACAACTAAAGTAGCCCCATTTGAATCAATAGAAGAGTTGTCTCATACAATCCCCACCAGTTCAATGGGCCTACTCTAATGCAATAAAACTGCTGTATAACTACCTGGCTGTGGAGCCAGAGGCTGGGTGTTCAGTTCTCCACTGTGCCTCTTTGACAGCAGCTGGATTCAATGATACATAGGGTGTGTTCCAACTCTGCAGTTCTAATATGATGATGATGATTTATGTGTTCAGGAAGTGAATGTCAGGAACTTTAATGATATTATATATACTGTGATGTTGCCCTGGATAAAATCAGATGCATGGGTCTTGTCAGATTCAAACACTGTTACAGATCAGCCTCTTGGAACTGTTCCTGCTTAGAGAAGCAAAGTTTCAGGATGCACTAAAATATTCCAGTGGGGGGTGAGCATACGGGTGATCTCTAATGGAAATTCTTTTAAATAATGTAAAACTATATTAGCGGTAGCATCTCACTCTGGACAAGTCCTTTTTTGTCCCAATAAATCAAGCCTTGTAACAATGAAATAATGCTTGCTATCTGATAATGTGATACTTACCAAAAAGGCGAGGGAGAGGAGGTAGATGCGGTATATGAATTAGTGCCATAAACTTGCCACCAAGTAGAGAAAAAAGGTAGAGGAATACAAGTCCAAAGAGATTTCCACCAGGAAGACAATCATCACGTGCTATAGACCAGATCACAGCCCAGAACAGCACTCCTGCTGACACTGCAAGAAAATACAGAGAAAACACTGAGGCACAGTCCTCTCCAAAACTCATAATGAAGTGTGACTGTAATGAGTACTACAAGAAACAAAACTTGTGGTTATAATGCCAGGCTTTTCAGGATCATTTTACTGATTGCATACTTAGGTTGTGAATACACAGCAAGGGAAATAAGAATCCACTCCCATTCACTCACTGTGAAGTCACACAGGGCAATCTGGGTCTTTTTTATTTAAGTGGCCACACAGGGAGACACGAGAAAAGCCTTGTTTACTGCTTGTCTGCAGTTCTGTTGAACTCCTGTAGGGTGTGTAGTAAAAAAAGGACTGTCTTAACAAGCTGTAACAAGGTTTCCCTTCCTCAATTTCCTCATCTTATTAGCTTTTTTTTTTAAAGAAAACACTGGCCAGTGGAGAGAAGCTCTGTTCTTAAACTGTTTGAAAAGAAAGGAGGAGTCTTGCCCACAGAGAGAGGGAAAGCTGTAAAAAAGGAGAAGAGTCTTGCTCATGGAAAGAGGCCTTGCTGGAGAGTGTATGTGTTGGCATGGTGGCTTTTCTGCTCTCTCTCTCTCTCTCTCTCTCTCTCTCTGTGTGTGTGTGTGTGTATGTGTGTGTGTGTGTGCGTGCGTGCGTGCACACATACACACACACACGTGTGCAGGACTTGTGTGTGTGTGTACGTGATCCCATTTTTGAACCAGTGTGCATGGATGTGGGTTTTTTGAAAGTAGAAGCCCCAGCAGCAGAGGGGGGGGGACTATGGATTTGGGGTCTGATGGACTGGACTCCAGGCTGATTAGCATTTCCCTTTGTGTCATGTGATTAATAGAAAAAAATTGAGATAAGCCTGCTGAAGACTCATAGTGTTTCCTGCTTTTTGTTCTCAGTGTAGTCACTCTACTACCCTTTTGCTAGAATCTAAACACACTTAAGAGGTTTCAGTGCTACATCTCATCCTCCATTATGCAATTCTTTATTCCAGAGGTGAAACAGGTTTTGCTTTATCTTACATGGTTTCCTAATGCACCAGAGTGGTACTGTAGAGTCTGTATTTGCATAAATGTAAACTGGGGGAGCCAAAAGTATTCAGGGTATTTTGGGGTCTGGGGAGATGAAGCAATGGGGATCTGGGGTCTGCTGGCAGCCCACAGTCTACATTTCACCCACACTTTGTCCTCACCTGGTATTGACGTACCGTTTAGAAAGTTTCACTCAACTCTTCAGCATTGAGCAGAGAATATTAAAGATATACAGATTCGCTAACAGAAGGATTTCTTTTTTTTTACATTTTATATTCTTTACTGTGAAAGAAATATTTTCTAATCCTATTTAATAAGTACCATTACTCACACAAGTTAAAAGACATCGCTAACATGTCAACCATTTAAAAATGTGATTGCCAGAATACTATTGCAGTCAAATAATGTAAATTTGGAAACTGTGTAACTGATGTGTTTGATCCAGCTTTCTGTTATGCATTCAGAGATATTGGGGTCCTACATTGGGCAGATGGCCACTAGCCAGGAAATTATGAGGGCTGCTTGCACAATTCCCCTTACATACAGAGTATTTCACAATAGGATTTTGACCACCAACAAGTAAAACTACTAAAGCAGATGTGTGCCCGAGTACATAAGAAGGCTGGGAGTACCTAGGGAGAACTCTCTCTCTCTGCTTCTTGGGAAGAGACTTCGCACAAACCTCAGTAATACAGTAGTTTTGTTTACCAGCTAACCTTTCCCCTACATGGACCTCTCAGACAGGCCCTCAAAAACCTCAGCTAATGCCAAGGCATGAATCCTACTAATTTCTGTGGATCCAATTTTCAGGGTTATATTTTGCACATGATAGAGAAGGCGGCAGGGTGTGTTCTTGGTCATGACCTAGTTTCAATAAAAACCTACAGAAATGTAGTGAGATTGCTGCCTTTTTCAGAGTTCAGTCAAGGGTGAGAACATTAAGACCTGGCTTAAGAGCTTAAAGTGCTGATTAAAACAATAATGGTGGCAGGGGTGGTGTGTGTTGGGGGGAAATGGAAAGCTCAGTAAGCAGCAGCACTGTTGGAACAAAGTGGAAGGGATATTTGTAATCTTGTCTTCTTGCCTTGGGAAAGTATTTCAATGGATTTTTTAAAGGCTTTGGTTTCAGTCAACTAAAGATTAACGTGATTTATCACACTCTTGTTTTTCCTCCAAAGAGCTCAGAGTGGCCTATATCTTGTTCCCATCTGGTCTCCCATCCATGCAGGTTACTGGGCCAAACTAGATTATCTTCAGTAAAAGAGCTATATTTGTGTCTTCTTCAACTCATTCTCTAGGTCATGAGAAGATGTGATGTCAGTCTTGCCCAGTGATCCACAAAATGGCTGCCCTCTCTTAGGGACTATTGCTAGCTTAGGATAACCATATTCTTTCTTTGTATGGGTGATGGTTGTCCTTTCAGATTAATTAATCCCAATTACATACCCGATCCCACAATAGTCATTCAGGCTTGGTAACTCTCATCAACCACAAGAATCAATGATCTAACAATACATGATGCTAAATGGATTACTTTCAATCATGTCAGGAATGTTTTCATTATTAATAGTAGGCCTAGTGAACGCTATCTGGACTACCAACACCAGTGGATATTTCTCATCATTAACTGCAGCATGATGATAGGGAGATTATGACTAGAGAAGGGGGTATACAAAGGCAGTGTTGAACTACAGTGCCAATAAAAAAATCTCCTGCTGTCATTGTTAAGCAGACAGCAATGACAAAAAAATTATCATGGTTGGCAGCAACATGATTATCATTCTATGTAGTTATGGTCCTGAAACTTTCAAACTAGTAACTCTCCTTTCTCAGACACATACATCTCAAATGTCACACCTCTGTAAGAGCACTGATCAAAATGTTTAATTTTGAAGAACAGCTCAATGTGTTTCATTTTGGACTGTTTCCCCAAAGGATCCCTCTGAATTAATTCAGCTTCTTAAAAACTGGCATGTATTCCACATCTGAAAATAAAGCTGGCTGCTTTTTAAATATCATATTTGTTTGTAACCTAAGTTTCCTATCAAAATGTGTTTGTTAAAATATAAAGCACCCATAGAACAGGTAAAACATCTGTGCACTGGCCAGAATCCTGTTGATGAGATGCATCGGCACAAGTACAACGGCCTACATTACAGTAACAAATTGCCACTAGTTAAGTCAGTTGTCACTTGTATCACTGGTCATCATGCAACAAGTCACATGGCTGATAAACAACAAGGAAGGCAAACATAGACTTCATAACTACT